ATCGGTCTCCAGCGCATTTGCAGCGCGGTCGGTCCGCTGGGTCGACGCAGATCCTCGCGCTCGGGAACTTCCCCCGGATTTTCTCAACTAGCTCCAGCGCCGCCTCGAAGCCTCCTGCCGCCCCTGTCGCCCCAGCGCCCGCGACGACCCACTCGAACTCGTCCTCGACGCGAAGACCCCCGCCAGACCGCACAAGAATACATTCGGGTTCCAGTGGTCCTGGCACCCCCACGCCGCAGCTGCCGCCTGCTTTTGCTCGCGCATGTCGGGGCGCTCTATCCAGAAGTGCTTCGGCGACCCGCGTGTCGCGCGCGTTCCACATTCGGATTTGCCATCTCCTTTTGTCGGCTTGCCCCTGGCGCTTGGCGGCCCAGGCTGTCCGTGACCTCGGCCGCCGCGTCGTCCTCCAGAGTCGGCGCCCTTGCCGTTCGACCCCGCCTCCTCGCACCGCCGGTAAAACCTCGGGCTCGGCGCGCGCCCGAGGCCGCGCAGCGAGCTTCCCCGAATATCCACGTCGGTGCAGTTTCGACGTGGCCGATGGGTCGTTCTTCCTACTCTGACCCATCCGCGAGCTGGGCGGGCCCAGCCGCGTCTTGGAAGCATTCGCCGCGGTCGCCCCAATCATCGCAGCAACCTTCCCAAGGACGCCCTTGTACCCATGCGCCTCCGGCCCATCCGTGGCCGCGCTCGCTGGCCAGCCCCGTTCGAAAACGTCAGCCTGGCCTTCCGAGGCCCCTGCATCCTTGCCGCGTATCCTGATGATAAGGGCTAACTGTGCGTCTTAAACTCTGGCTTCCAGCTGCGATGTGATCCCTCGCCGAAATGCCACCGGTCCGACGCTGCATCTTCAGCAGGCGACTGCAATATCACACGTCCTTTGCGCTGCACGGGGCCTCCTCGCGCTTCTCTCTTCCTCCGCTCATCGACATCCCAACAGCCTCTCGAGGCGTTCTGGCTAGGAGAATAGGTTTGCACCTTTCCTCGTGATGGCCAGGACTGATTGTCTTTCGCCGCGGCCCAGGACTGCGCTCAGAAAGTTGCATCCATCTGTCTGGTCATACTGTTTAGGCCGTATGTGCTGCGTCGTCCACTACCACTTTCTGCATTGGTCTCGACAGCTCGGCGAAGCATTCGTCCTCTCGAACCACGGAATCCGATATCGATTCGCCCTTCCTCCTGGTAATTTGATCGTATATGCTGGTTCGGTGGAAAGCGTTTGGAAAAGGCTGCGTGTCCAAGGCTGTCGGTTCACATTTTGAGAAGCTGTTCCAGTTCGTATGCGGCCTCGTACTCTTCGTGGTTCATCCCATCTTCGGTATCTTTGGCGGCTGACTTGATTGGCTCCTTCAGTTGCCGCCTTTCGCGTGCGACGCACAGAAAGCCGCCGGCGGTCTTCACAACAACTCTCACCCATCTCGCTTCCTCGCAATAGTCATCGACCTCACTGGTTTCTCCAACTGATTGTCCGTTATCATCGGTCTGCTGTCTTCCATGCCCAGTGGTCCGGGGCCTTTTCCACGGGCCCCGCTACCATACACGTAACAACCCTTCTGATTCGTAGTTGCTACTCGCATTCGTCATGTGATGATGGTGAATGCTTCTCCACCTGCACAACGCTGCAGGTTTCCGCCCTCGGCGACCGTGGGCGCCTCACGCCCGAAACAAACATCGCGGCTGCTGATGGCAGTAGCCTCGGCAAGCTTCAGACTCAAGAGAACTCCCGCCCCTCGCGGTGAAACAACATGACAGCAGAAACGAGCGTAACACTGACTTGAAATCATGCCTGGGCTCCTGAACCACACACAAGGAAGCCCCCAAGAGGCCCCCAAGAGGCCCCCAAGAATCTCCCCGGAGGCCCACATCCACAGAATATCCCAAGAGTCCTCCTCTTCATCCTCCTCCTTCATTCCTCTCTCTCCCAAATAACTCCCCCCTGTCGCACCCCGAAGCCAATCGGAAGGGCGGCCTGGGCGTTTCGCTTGCGACGTCCTTACACTTATGATCATGACACTTGAAAGTGGTAACATATTCGCGGGTGGAGGGCAGGCAGCTTTCAAAGTGTGGTTCTCGCCTTTGCGCCGCGCGCATTCGCTTCGCACAAACGCAAGAGCTTCACGGAGTGAGGGCGGGCCGGTTTCAAACTGTGGCTCTCGCCTCAGCGCCGCGCACACTCGTCTGTAAACATGGAGGAGTTTCACGGATTGGGGGCAGCTCTTTTTTCAAAATGTGATTATCGGCTTAACCCCGCGCGCAATCGTCTGAAAACAAGTGTAAACGCTTCACGGGTTCCCATTGTGTAACGTAGCAGAAAAAATGTTTGGAACGATTCAGGATTGTCAAGGCGCGACAATTACAATGATTCGCGGTGTTGAAGTCACGGAATGGTGCTCTGGTGCGACTCAGGATCGCCCAGACGCAGCAGTCAGGTTGATTCGTGGCACTGGAGTCAAGAAAATTTCATGCGTCGGCACGCTTCAGGATCTTCGAACTATTGTCTCCCAGCGGGGCACTTCCCTCAGTGTGGAAATTAATCCTTGTATGGGGCCAATGACGAAGAAGCTTGCCGGGAGGGTTTATCCCAACATCGTTGA